TATGAATAAAGCCCGTAAACAGGACTAGGGGGAGGCAGTTCTCTGGGAAGCAAAAGGGGTAGGGATGGAGGGGCTTTTAATATTAAATTTTATGAAAGCACATCTTTCCAATGCCAAAAATTCGCTTGCCATGACAATTAAGTATTTATTATGTTGTCGCTTGTTTTTGCAACTAAAGCTCAATAATAGAAAAGGAATAATAGAAAAAAGGAGGCTGAAATGTACTTAACTACGAAAACTGAGGCACACTGATGCTTTTTCTTGGCTGTGATCAAATCAAAGTCAGTAATCTTTAATAAGGTAAACAATATATTATTTATATTTCACACTTTATCTTATTTAAGCCTCACAACAGCCTTGCCAGGCAGCTACTACAGGTGTTAACCCTATTCTATAGATAATGAAATGGAAACTGTTATACCCCACAGTTCCTAAGAATCTGAACCTAGGTCCCCCAACTTCGAACCCCGCACCTCCTCCACTATACCGTGTAAGGGATGCAAAGAATCTCTCAAGGCCTTGCTTGCAATGTAATTGGGGGGAAAGAAAGCACCCAAATAAACATGAAACAAGGGAGAGTTGACGTAGGACAGTAGAAATCCAGGAAAACATAAGGAGAATTTCCATAAGGGAAAGCCTACTTTCAGCTGGAATAAGGGTGTGGCAGCTGAAGAAGTCTTCGTGGAGGAGATGAAAGGTGAAGAGGGCTTTGAGGGAAAGAACTTTCATAGATGGAAGGAAGAAGAGGAAGGTGAAGAAGCCATCCCAGGCATAAGGCAAAGTCACAGAGACTGGGAAGATCAGGGCAGGAAAAAAAAAACAGTTCAAGTCTAGAATGTAAAATACATAAAGCTGAGCAGGGGGATTATAAAAGCTTTTTTCCTCCATAATAGGATTAAATCTTTATCTAGACTCACCATTCACTTTGAGTGTGTAGACAAAGAAGTGCAGAGTCAAGACTCATCATACAGAGACTTTGTAACATTCTAATGACTCAAACAAAAAAGTACTTTAGCTTGAAATAGCCAAATAGCTGAAAAAAGCAAGAAAACTTTTGAGAGAAGGAAGAGTCCTTTAAAGACCCGAATAATTCTCCACAGCGTTTTGTGTGCATCGATACTCCTCTTTTTTTCTTTCCTGTAGACCCTGCCCAGCTGAAGATATATATACAAGGGAGGAGGAAATCCTAGCTAAGAAATGCATACTTTTTATGTTGTTGCTTTTGAAAGAAAGGAAGAAAGAAAGAAAGAAAGAAAGAAAGAAAGGAAGGAAGGAAGGAAGGAAGGAAGGAAGGAAGGAAGGAAGGAAGGAAGGAAGGAAGGAAGGAAGGAAGGAAGGAAGGAAGGAAGGAAGGAAGGAAGGAAACTATCGAGTCTTGGAGTAAGGGAAGGGAGAGAGAGAAGTCAATTTTTGTGCTAGGAAGAGGGAATTCTTCGAGCTTCGTACTTTACTTACCCACTCTAATCTAGGAGGATCTAAGCAGCTTCAGGTTTCAGGAGCCAGAGCCCAGGGCTGGCTTGATATATAAAGGCACACATCTTGCCTCCATTTGTTTGTTTGTTTGTTTGTTTAGGAATAAAGTTTGGAGGACACATTCCAGACAGATGCGTTCCTCCCGGTTGGTGGAGTCCCTTTGATTGCAGATATTCTCCATTCTGTTTCTTTTATTAGAAATATCAGTGTTAATCACCAAATCAGCATTACTCATCAAACAAATATCTGTTTAAAAGGTTATGTTGTGTTTACTACCGCTAGCCTGCTGAGCCTTCCCAGCGAACAGGTAGGAGAGAGGACTAGTGTCCTGTCCAGGTATGAAAGACAGGTTTTCCTCTCTAATCCTCTCCCATCCCAACTCTCTGCCAACTAGCCCATTTCCTGGCCCTGGGATCTTTGGCTCGGGTGTCTTGTGACTATTTGAAATTACGTGATTCGAACTAAAACCATAAAAATCACAGGATTTAGCGTTGGAAGGAACTTCAGCGCTCACCTGGTCCAATCCTCTCATCTTACTGATAGGAAAACTGGGGTCCAGAAAAGGAAAGTGAATTTCCTAAGAAGACACATCTTGACTAGAACCCAGGTCTCCTCATTCCTACCCATGGCAGTGTTCTTTTTCACTACACCACCTTGGACTTTTTTTATTTTAAGTTATTAAATTTCAATATATAAATTTTAAAGACTCAGACTCGTCTTTTTCTGCCTCCCTCCCCCCGCCAAAAAAAAAACAACACTAAAAATCTGCTTCTATTTTCAATGGGAAAAGGGGGGCATAGAAGAAGGACGGCTAAACCCCTGGTGGTAAATCTTTTGGCAGATGAGTTTTCTGGAAGCTGTTGGATTGCCTGGCTGGGTCCCGGGAGCCGGAGCCAAACAGCTTGCTCTCGAAAACGTCACCCTTGCGCTTTCAGGGAGCTTGGGGGCCTACCCAAAGAACGGAGCTGCATCTTCTCAGGATTCAACCAGAAAGCAAAATACAACGACGGGAACTCTTGATTGTCAAGGTATCCTGCCCGTGCACTCTTCAAGGAGGGAGGGCAGGAATACGGGGCTGGGGCTGACATCTTCTGGGATGCCAGGTCTGATCTGAGCACAGATTCTGTTTGAAGAAATCCAGTCCCAGCTCTGCTCAACTGCCTCACAAACCAGAGGCTAGGTTGCTTACTTTTTTTTTTTTTAACCTTGGAGAAATTTTTAGGCCTCTACAGACGACTTTCAGCAGTGGAGGATAGTAGAACGTGCTTTACAAAACTGCCGTCCTTGCAAAAGGCTGCTACTATTGCTAATTTTCAGATATTAAATAGCAAGCAGTTAGGGAAGATAAAATAGCAGTGGTTATCATTATAATTATTACCATAGTCAGACGATCCCAGACTTGCCTCCAGTATTCCGGTAGGTAGTTAAAAGGCCTTCACTGAAACCCTCAAAGGGCAATGAATTTTATGTGCTTCGGAACCATTGCACAGTGTGTTCCCGATCAATCGCACTTATATGGCCTTTGAGGGGCAGTTTTAAAATGACTTTTATTTCTATCTAATCTGTAAGGTACTCTTGGGATACTTTTATTTTTACCTATCTCTTTCCCAACCTGCCACCATGGTTTCTGTCTCCTTTTCTCAGCTCCTCCTCAAAGGGTCCCAACGTAAAAATTTGTGATTTAAAAGAAATGGTTTCGAAGGGGTGAGTGAAACAAATGCCAACCCAATGTTGAGCAGGGTTTCTCTACTGAAACAAACTCATGAGGTAGGGGGAAATGTGAGAGACAGGAAACTGAAGATTTTGAGCAGTGGCACAACAGACCTTGACTTCTTCGAACCGAAGAACCAGAGCTACTTGGAGCAAAAAAGAAGCCCCAGTATTTTGTTTTCCCTCGATCTTAACTCTATAGGCACAGAAACAGGAGAAGTAAGTCCTAAACCCTGAATGCAGTGGGTGGCGTCGAATTCTTTGAGACAACTGACTCAGTTTCTCGTTGACTGTGGGAAACCCCCAGGCAATCGTGCTCTCACTTTCTCTCCCCTCTTAAAAACTGGCTCTGGAAACTGGAGCATTGAGGGCACACTGTGTTCTGCACTCGGCTCAGAGGATAGTCAGTAAATTACAGTGGTTTGGGTGTTTTTCTTTTTCAGCCTAGGAGTGTGAGAGACAGACAGACATAGACATATTCACCCGTCCCTTGGTTCTTCTTTCTGTCAGTTTCTTCATTAATTTTCCCTATTAGGTCTGATTAGGCTTCCAGTTGGTGGCCTACATGCTAGACCATAAGAGCAGAAGCACTATTACAATTCTTAGGAATGGCTTGGTGTTTTTTGTGGTCCAAGAAAATCTTGCATGTGTTGTCACTATGATGCCCCACTAATAAAAGAAATTAAATCCAAGTTTTCTTATTCATGGTGGAGGTGGGATGTATTACCACCCTCAGACTCTCACAGAGTTGTGGAGGGAAAGTACGGTATTGGAAGTCTGGGAGCATAGGTTCTAGTTCAGGCTTTGACACTATAGAGCTGTGTAACCTTGTGGAAGTCACTTCATCTCTTAGGTCTCAGTTTCCCCATCTGCAAAATGAGCGCATTCGACTACAGTAGAGATTCTTGATCTTTTTATGTCATGGACCCCTTTGATAGTTTGGTAAAACCTATGGACTGCTTCTCAGAATAATATTTAAAAATAACTGAAGGAAAGGCTAAATTTCACTTAGTGGTTAGTGACAATAAAGATGTAATTTTTTCCATCCAAGTTCAGGGGGCCCTGAAATCTATTTACCCCTTTGGACGTTCTTGGATCCCAGGTTTAGAAACTCCTAGAATAGGACTCTCTAACATCCCCGTCTAGTTCTACAATTCTTTTATCTGTGTGTCGTTCTTGGTAAATGACACCAATAACTTAACGTTCTCCACAACTAGAGGTGGGCTGGGCTGAACCACCCTCAAAGACATAAACTCTTCTGTCTGGTGCCTGGAATCCTCCAGGCCTTAGCAGCATACTCAACTCGAGCAGCTGAGCTAACCGTCCCCTCCAAGCACCACTGGACATTCCAGGTTTCAAAGGAACTTTCGGAGGGGGAATTGGTACAAATTCGTTGGAGTTCTTAGCGAAAGTCGATCTGCTTCTCAACTAAAAGCTCATTTGGAGTACCAGGTGCCCATTGCCTCTCCCTACACTGACCCTGCCCAGGTTCTCAGAGGACTGACCCGCCTGCAAGGAACTGTGCCCAGACAGGTTAGATGTGATCAGTAGCACAAAGAATCACTCAAATGATCCAGACCCCTTACACTGGAAAGTGAGATGGTTATTCTATCATTGTGGTTGTTATTGACTACACTACACCTATAAAAAGCGTTTCTCTGGTACTCAGTCTTTCGCAAAACACTGTAGTTCCAGAAGCTTGAGGCTATTTACTGCTAACTCAGCTCCTCTCTCTTAATAGGCTATGAAGGAAGGCCGGGATCGAAAGCTGCAGCCCATCTGGGCTCCGGGAGCCGCCGCTCCCCATTGAGCCAAGCTGGCTTTACAAACCGTAATAAACATTTTTATTTACAGGACTGAGTCGCTCCCAGTGCAGCAAGTCCTGGGCCAGAATACAGAAAGCAACGCGACCACTAGGGGGGAGGTGGGGAGAGACAGTTATGTCAAACACTTCACACTGTTTCTTCCCACCTCCCTCCTCCACTCCCCCCCAAAAAAAAAAATTTAAAGGTTTGTTTGGTTCGAGTAAGTGTCGGATCATGTTGGAGGGAGGGGTATCAATCAGTATCTGAGAGTCCCTCTTAGCATAAAGAGAAAGGCCCGGGATAGTGAGAGTCACACAAAGGAGGCAGAGAGTATATGTATAGAAGGGGTCTCCGCCATTGCCCGAGCCACTGTGGTCCTGTTAGTAATACCTGGTCCTTGACATAAATTAGTAAGAAAGGCCCACGTGGCAGGGAGTTCATAAAAAGGGTTCCTCCACCCCTCACAGCCATGCACCTCTCCCTTCTGCCAGCCGACTAGCTGCCAGGCCAGCCTATAGGCCGCCAAGCGGTGCGGGCTCTGGACTTTCATTAGCTGTGCAGTGGAGAGGCAGCGGCGTCTGCAGCTCTGGGCTGCAGCTGCCGTTCATACTGTTATTGCTGTTGCTGCTGCTAGTGGTGGTGGTCGTGGTGGTCGTGGTGGTCGTGGTGTTGGGGCTGGTGGAGGAGGACAAGGAATTGGAAGAGGAAGAAGATGAGGACTTAATGACGCTGGTCTGGTGTAAGAGCTGCTCAGTCCCCTCAGTCCTTTCCGTGTCGCTGGGGACCATGTCCAGGGACTCCGAATCGCTGCTCTCGCTCTCTCCTTCAGACCGGCTGGGGCTCCTGTCCTCTCTCTCACATTCGGCAGTCGGAGCAACGCCGGCCTGCTTCTCCGTCGGGTCCTTCTCTTTGTCTTTCTGGGCCTGTGCTTCCTTGGAGTGGCGCCACTTCATTCTCCTGTTCTGGAACCACACCTTGACCTACGGGAAAACAAGGGATGAGACAGGCTGTCCCTGCAGCTACCTTGTCCCTGTAAGAGAAGTTGGTCCTTATTCCACCTTACACTTTTCTTTCTGGTCCCCTCCCCCATTTAAGCCCTTGATCCCAGGCACTTGGATTCTGCTGGGCAGGAACTGTAAGTTTTTCAGTCCCTTACGGAGGGAAAGACATCCCTACAGACCCAGACTCTCGGGCCCCTTCAAGATCTCTCCCTTCACCGTTATATCTTATTTTAAAGAATATATTTAAATATACCCAGCACGTGCCAATCTAGCAAGAAGTTTGGGGGCAGAGAGAAGGCAACGGGAGAGAGAAGAATTGGACCAAGGGGAGACCAAGTTGGGGCAGGAGTGGGGTAGGAGATACTTGCAGCAGAGTAAGCACTGAGAATTAGTGGAGTTCCCAGGCCCGTTTGTGCTAAGTGGGTGATAAGGACACTGCCCACACACACACACACACACACACACACACACACACACACACACCCATATCTTGTATTATTAAGAGATAAAACAATTCTTCTTGGGGCTCAGAAAATTCTAGAATTAAAAAACGTGAAAAATAAGAAGGGAGTAGGGGTGGAGGAGAAACCATATAAATATATATGATCCCCTGGGGGATACACAGCGTTCACACAAGTTCCAGCTTCACTTTTAAAAATAACATCCGCAGCTGGTGGAAAACGGCTAAGGCAAGCCAGTGGGGTGTATGGGGGGGGGTAGAATTATAGACAGTCAGAATGAAAGAAAGAACGAGGGAAAGACCAGAAGGTGACTGGGTTTGTTCTTGTTATCTGAGCTGGGAAGGGAAGAAGGAAGGATAAAGAGAGAGAAAATCTTCTTCCTCTTCCCTCTCCCCCCTTCTCTTGCCTACCTAAGAAGACAGGGAACTATGATGACTTTTTGTAATCCCCTTTTAAATCTCAAGCCCCCTGAATTCTTGGTTCCTCAGCCTGTTTTCATGTAACTAGTGAATTCATAGATTTCCTTTTGTGTTGGAGATCAAAAAAAAAAAACCCAACAACGCATGAAACCTGCTGAAAAGCCCTTGCGTGTTTCACTAAAAGAAAGAAACAGTTTTCTCTCTGTTCAGGAAACCGAATCTTTCTTCAGAGACCGCAGAGTTAGAAAATTCGACTGGCTTCGGCTTGTCCACAGCCCAATTGCGGGGGAAAGGGGAGGAGGAAAAGGGGGGGGGAGTAAATAATTCCGTTTGAAAAGAGGTTTTCACTTCCTCACAACGAAGGATTTCACAATCCGGCAGCAACAACGACCAAGGAAGGAGGAAGGGGGAAAAAAATCTCTCGATTTACGAATTTTTATCTCCTTTGAAATAATCTGCCGCCTACGGAGAACTGCACTTCAGCCGAGGACATAATTATTATCTCCCGCGGCCTATTGGCTTTCTTGGTTGTACTTTCCTCTATTGGCCAAAATAAACAGGCAGGGTATATTGACATAAATCTTTAGGGCTGGACTAAGGCCCTTTTCTTCTCCTGCCTCTCTCTCTTCCCCACCCCCACCCATTCACTCTCTTCTCTTTTGCAACAAGATATGAGTTTAAATAAAGCCTCATGAAATTCAATATTTTATTTTTCACCAGTAAAGGGGGTGGGAGCACGTTTAAAATGCGTTTGCACCTTCCAGAACAGCACTACCCTGAAATAGCGAAAAGGAAAGGAAAGAAGGCCCCCCTGGATTCAAAAGGCAAGAGGCCAGGGAGCAAGGGCGCTATAAAGAGAACAAGAATCTAAGCTCCGACAGCCCTCCGGGGAGGGCCTGTCTGCTTCGGACCTACAGTATGAGTTAGATAGCAGCAGCAGCAAAAGAATCTTACTTGCGCATCTGTCAGGCCCAGCATCGCGGCTAGCTGCTTCCTATCCGGCTTCGTGACATACTTCTGAATCTCAAACCTTTTCTCCAAACCTTTCCTCTGCAGGTTGGAAAAAACCGCGCGAGACCAAGAACGCTTTCTCTTGTATGTTTGGGGCATGGTGTCCTTCGTTAGAACCGCATAGGGACCTGTGGTGGATGGGAGGAATGCAAGGGAATGGGGAGAAAGTGAGCAAGACAGGAGAAAGGGAAGGGAAGAAAGAAGAGAAGACAGGTTATTGCTAAATACACCAGGAGCGTGAGGGGGTTTCGTGCACGGACAAAGGAGGTACAACGTATTTTAAAAAATGTATTCTAACAGATTGTAGAGCTTCACAGAGAATTCTACCCAGAGATTCTCTGTTCTGTCTCTACAGAGTAAGTCTGAAACACTGAACACCACATATCTGTCAACACAAGCGAGTTAAATGGAAAGGAGAACTGAGGCAGTTATCTGGCAGTTATCTGGGGGGACGGGGGAATGCATTTACCTCTCCACTGCATGGTATGGGCAAAAATGTGTTCTGGTCTCAATGATCCAGATAACTGCCTCAAATTCTCTCTCTCTCTCTCTCTCTCTCTCTCTCTCTCTCTCTCTCTCTCTCTCTCTCTCTCTCTCTCTCTCTCTCCCCTCCCTCTCCCTCTCTCTCTCTGTCTGAAAAGGTCCCCCTTTTAGGTCTTTTACGACACGATTTTGGTAACTTTACAATCAATTTACAATCATAGTTGTGTTAAAATATTTTCCTTCCAGCTGATCCACTCATACACCAAGAGTCAGAATAGTTGCCCCATTTCCTGGTCCCACATGCAGTACGCCCTTCTCCCCACCCCCACCCCCGCCCCGCATCTCCGAAAGAGTACATTTGAAATATGACGGTGCTCTTCAATCACTCAATAGAAAACCTTTCACTTTAGATCATTTAAATCCGTTATCTACCCACCAATGCAAAGAATTTTAAAAACAATGATGGGGCTCCCTGTGTTGGGGGGGGCGTTCAGTGGAGAGAAAGCCTCATATTTGCGACTTTAGTTCAATTAGGGTTCTGTAGCTGTCGTCTCTTGTGCCCAGGGGACTACAAGACCTGGATTCTTAGCGTGGAATAACGTTCCCATAAGCAGGGTTTCTGTACCTGGAAAAGTGTCTTGAAACTGGTGCTGAACTGAACTTCGTGGGTTTGAGTTTAAGGGACTCAGGATACCAGAGGCCTCGTTAATAGGATCTAGAGACGCGAAGAAGTGGCCCGCAGAAGGCTGCAAAGCGGGGAGGTGAAGACCAGTTTGCCGGCCGGTGGTTAGTAAGGAGGTAAGATCTGTGTGCACAGGAAGAAGGAGAGCCCGTTACACCTCCAATAAATCCACACTCTCAAATCAAGACATAATACTTTATGTTCTTCCCTCATCCTCCCTTTTCTCCTACTTTTCTAAGAGATTATTAGTACGAGGGGAGATTTATCTGGGAATCCTGGAATCGTGACACTCCTTTACATCCCTCCCCTCCCTGCTCTCCTTAAGCCAAATATACAAACATAAAAAATAAAATAAAATAAAATAAAATAAAATAAAATAAAATAAAATAAAATAAAATAAAATAAAATAAAAAGCATGGAATGTGCAAGCACAGGCCACACACAAGTATATATAAAGTATTTTAGTTTAAACTACATAACGAAGTCACCTGTTAAATGTCTGTCTATACAAACAGCGGGAGTCCTTCCTTCCTTTTGTACCCTGAACTAGGTGCTCGAAGGTTTTAAGAATTTTTACCTGCTCCGTCCATGTTTTTACACAGTTGCTAGGGGAATTTTACTAGAGAACAGAGAAAAAGGAACAGAAAATCTTTCAAAGACGGGCAATTCTAGCTACAGATAAGTGGATGAGTAAACAGAGAATGTAGAATGAGTATATCAAGGACATATTATAGAAAACACAACCGTATTGAGGGGGTGTTTTTTAAAATGTTTATGGGAGAATACTTTTTTTAGGGAAGGCAAAGTTTAAGCTTAAATTTAAGCTATGCTTTGGCAAAGTTGGTCGGTTTCCTTCCCCATCCTTCCTTTCCCCCAAAGCCTTCCTATTAAAAAACAAACAAGGAAACTTGCAATCTTATTGGGGGAGGAGGGCTGTCAGAAAGATCAGTGGTCAAGGAGAAGCCTGACAGGGATTTCTGGATCAGGGACCTACCTCTCAACGTGTTGCCTTCCTTCACTTTCGGATCGAATTCCGCCGACAATATTCGGTCAATCCCAAACTTGAGGTCCTTGCTGGAGGGGGCTGGAGTTGAGCCGCTATGGTGATGAGGGTTAGCAAGCATCCTCGCCCCGGGGGCTTGGGGCTGAATGGCCCCAGGCCGATGTAGTGGTGGTGGTGGTGGTGGCGGAGGCGGCGGCGGCGCCTGCTGCTGCTGCTGCTGTTGCTGCTGCTGTTGCTGCTGCTGCTGCTGCTGCTGCTGCTGCTGCTGTGGCTGCTGGTGATGATGGTGGTGGTGATAGGCGGCCGAGAGTGGAGACAGCCTCTGGGGGAAGGCGGTTGGGACTTCGGGGGGCGCCACCACTGGAGTGGGTCGCAAGGGGGACCCAGCTGCAGCTTGAAATGGAGCGTGGGGATGAACTGAGCCCAAGTGAGCCGTTAGGGCTGTGGAGGAGCCCCCGGAGAGGCTCTCGGCCGCTGCCCCCGGCTCCCCGACACCCGCGTGCAGGATGTCTGCAATGCAAAAGGAGGGTTTCTTGACGGCGGCTGGATCCAGAGGGAAGGAACAGCCTGCTGCGCTGGCCGGGGAGCAGTAAGCCGCGGACCAGAGGCTGAAGTTGGAGGCGTAGAAGGGAGCCAGCCCTGCCGCGAACATCCTCGCTTGCTGGCCGCTGCCTCCGCTACAGCGCCGGCAGCCAAGGATTGAGTTGGGTAGAGAGGGGTGGGGTGCAGTGGTGGCGCTGTCTACTGGAGGCCAGAGAATCCGGACAAAAAACTAACAGCTTTCGCTTCTCCTCCAAGTGAAGACTGGAAGACACGGAAACTTCGCAAGCCGGAGGCTAGGGCCAGGCTCCAGTCCCAATCACTTTCCTTACCCCCCACAGCTTCTCCACCCACTTTAAGGACAGCTTTGCGCTGCCGTGCTCCCCGCTGGTCGAAGGCGAGTGAGGGGCCGCTGGGAGGTGGGGAGATGCGGGTCCGCGGGGGCGGTGGCAGGGGGACTGTCCCCCCCCAACCTCCAACACACACACACACACACACACACACACACACGGCTCTCGGGAAGAGTATAGAGAAAAGAAGTAGAGGGATGTAAAAATGAAAAACCAAAACAACTAAACCCTAACAGCTAAATTTAAAACAACAGTAACAATTATAATTTAAAAAAAAAAACTTCTCTAAAAACTATCAAAGTTTTGGCAGCAGCTCCTGCGTCAGCCTTGGGGTAGGACCTCAGTCTAGATGCTCATTGGTGTTAGTCGTAGCCAATGGGAAATGACCGGAGGGGAGGATTAGGAAGATGGGGAGTTACCAGTGGAGTTGGTCACGCCCAGACACGCCAAAGTAGTGACTGCAGTCTCTGGAGTCTGCTCCTGTTGCTGCTTGTAACTTTTTACCTAGAGGGAACACTGCCTGCCTCTGTCCTGAAACACCCCTATACCTTCATCCCCATCGGAAGGAAGGAAGGGTTTGGTAATAGAGCCAAACTTTGCCCCCTAGGTTCCCCTCCTAGTGATCTCCTAGGGAATCTGTTGATCTACTTCGGAGTGCGACATACAGTCCCTAACTTCCCAATGGAGTGCATAATTTCCCACTAGGCGTGCTAACCTGTTTTCTTTCCCTCCGTCATCCATGCCTCTTTCCCTCAGCCGAATTTTCTCCCAAGAAATAGGGACTATGCCTTATAAGTAGCTAGCCCTTCCCCCTGGGAAGCTGTCTTCTCTTTTCCCCATTAACCAAGCCGTTTCCTAGGATGCAGCAAGATGCTGAGTTTAAACCTACCCGCTCCTCTATGCTTTCAGGGATATCCCCAAGACAAGGAGGCGGGGCAGCTGCAAATTGGGTTCTATTCAGAGCTGTCACTCACTGACAACTCAAACTAGTGAGGTTTCAAACAAAGTAAGATGGATGTCTACAAATATCTCCCTGAAATGAAGCCAAATCCTTCACCCTAACTACGAAAAACTGCTCTGAAAGCTCTCAAATTTCTCCAAATAAGACACCCTTATTTCTCTCCTCTGCTGTAGATTTAAGGAAATAAATTGGCGGCTTCTCACCGACACATCCACCGATTGAGTTTATCTATGCTTTTGCAAGTCCCCAAAGCAGATATCCTTCGAATTGATTAATGCTAGAGTCGCATTCCATGGACAGCTTCCCAAAAGAAACAGTGTACAAGTCTACCTTACTTAAGATCACCCACAAATATCTAGTTAAGGTTTACGTCTCCCATTGTCTATTTGTATTTCTAGAGTACAGAGTAGGAAGGAGGGTTTTTTCCCCGGACTCTTTACAAATTCGTTTTGGAAATCATTCCGAAGTTGAGTTATGAGAAAATCCCTCGCCCCTCAAATGAACCATCGGCCATTCAAAAGAATGTATTATAGACTTTTTTCAGCAATAAATAAATATAAAAACAGTTTTTTTAAAAAAACCTAGAACATACTTGGTTTTTGAATTTACTACTAATTGAATTTCCAGCATCTTCCGACAGGAATTTTTTGATAAAGACAGAAAAGTTTGATTTTTTTTTAAGAACCCGAAGAGAACAGTTAAGCCTGATGCGTCCCTCGAAAGGTCAGGCTTTGGGTTTTGTCCATTAATTTCAGATCATTCTAATCCATTCTATGTTGTAAACCTAAGTTTTATTTTCTGACACGATGGTCTGCCCGCGCAGCAGTCATTTATTACCCCCCTGTTAGATCTCAGAATTGTTTCGTTGTATTTTTTCAACTGAGTTTCCTACTTTTTTCCTCCACCCAGGGACCCAGACTTTCTTTCCTTACACGGGAATGATGGAGCAATAGTGGATATATAGACAGGTAGTGAGATGAGAAGAGCGCGACTTTGCTCTCTATTGGACTACCAGGTGGTTTGCAAATGCCGAGACAGAGCTGAAAGCACCAAGCTGGGAAACAAACCAATTCAAGCAAAGTCCAAAATACTACATGGGGCTTATTCGATCTGTGAGTCAACTAGGTTGCTGCCTTCACCGGGATGTAGAACTGAAAGAAGAAGCTGACAGGCCGGTGAACTGTGGTCCATCATCCCTTCAGAGGCAAACCAGAATCACGATTAGCCCGGAACGCGCAAGGGTTGCTCCACTCAGATAACAACAGAACCTTTTGCACTTGGTCCCCAGAAAAGGTGAATTTGCCTGCAGCCAGCACAGAGGTGTGGTCGTCGAGTGTTGAGGGAAAGCACACTCTTTCCCCCCCCCCCTTTGACTAGACAGTCATTTGCATTCACTTATTAATTTGGCCCCTGTCAGCAAGCTACGTCTGACTACATGCAACCAGCCAGACTAAGGCCAGAGCTAGTCCCTTCTCAGGTTACTACCAGGCCCGACCTGCTCGCCTCGGCGACTGAAAATTGCTCCAAAGGCGACCTCCCAGCCTTAAGCAGAGAAAATCTTCCCAGGCCACAACGCACTAACTGTATAGACCGGACAGACACCAGAAGTGAAGCAGAAATTATCCCTCTGTTAAAAAAAAAAACACCACTCTACTTCTACCCCTTTATGCTATGGTTTCTGGAGACTTGGGAATAGGAACAGACTTATGAGATGGTGCGGAGAGCCCACTGGAATGAAGTCCCCACACCCCACCACCCTAGCCCAGTCCCTATATTCCCTCGGTCCTGGACGACCTCCCAGACTTCTAGAGCCAGGGTTTTCTCCGAGGAAGAGAGTTCACAAGTCAGCACATGGGTGAGGAAAGAGATCCGAGGGATGCTGGGAACTGAGGGGGCCGAGAGAGAGAGAAGCATTCCGAAACGGGACTCCCCTGCCCAGCACCAGGCAAACAGCCTGTGCGGGGGCTACTAGCGAGATTTCCACATCCAGTCCTCACCCAAGCAGTTCAGTCTCCCCGCACCCCTATTTTAGCTTTCTGGAAAAGACTGGGAGGAAAGAATGCTAACTCCCCCTACCTCTAGCTCTGCACCCCATATACCTCAATCTCCTCTTATGCGTTGTCCCCTAGAGTCAAGCTAACCAACTTCCCCAACCCCGAGATAAAAGCCAGAGAAGCTGCCCTTCTCCAAGTGGAGCTGAGTGGGGCCTACGTGCCCCTCTCCATTCTTCCCTCTTTTTTTTTTCCAGTGGTGTAAGGGATCCCAGTGGCCGAGGCCACCATCCTGGCCCCTAGCCTTCACTCCGAGATACGGAGGAGAGAAAAGTCTTGTTCTCCCTCCCCTCCCCCCCCTTCCCTTTATTTAGGCGCAAGAATGCTGCAGGAAACTCCGAGCTCGCCGAAGTTCAGGTCATCTCCTGTTTTTTTGATGGGCTCAAACTCGGACTAAATGAGCGGATGTGCCTGTGAGATTGGTCCCCAAAATAGAAGCGGCTTTAGTATTTTAGGATACAGCAGAAATCCTTATTTCTTCCGGAGAAAAACTTTATAATGACTCCTAGCACTTCCCCTTTCAATATTTGTGCAACTTTATCTCCACCGACAAGTTGCTCGGGTGACGCAAATCCGCCCTTGTGTATTACAACTACCAAAATAAATGCACGGAAATCAATTCCCTTCTAGTAATGAAAGCATAAATATACAGCCGCGACTTTCCCCTTTAATCTTCGCTTTCCGAGCGGCTCCAAGCCGCGGAGAAATGAACTGGTGGGGAGCTATTTAGACGGGCTAGGAGACCCCCGGGGCGTCGGGGGTGGGGGAAGAAAGCCAGTGCAGGCCAAAACGACAAGTGCTGGGAAGCCAGCTGAGAGCGAGGGAATCTTACCTAACGGAATCACCCTCGACTAGTCTAGAGAGCGCGGACTGTAGACTTGGAAAATAGAATTGCTCCACATTGAGGAAGCAAAGAGAGTGGAGGTTATTATAGAAAGAGTTTAGTCTCAGAATCCAATTTCTCCGGAGCCTGGCTAACAGGGCGTTGAAAATGAGAGTAGTGACAATAGTTTGGCTAATTCGAACAACGCCCTCCCTGCCCCATTCCCCACACACTATAGAAAATACGTATATTGGGAAGAGACGAACTATTTTAGTAGATTGTATATACTTCTCCCAATATCAATTGCCTATGAGACACAGCAAAAGAGTGTCCTGGGATGAAACACATCAAGATAAGAGATCTGCATTCTTAAGGTTTAGCATACAAAAAGCAATCCTGCATTTGGAAAGGTTATTGCAATTTCCCCACCCCCAGCCCCGGCTGCCCCGTCAGGGGTTCCCAGCTTTCTTTGGCACTCAAGATTTTGAAGTCCACCAAATGAGACATAAAATAATGCTTTAGACCCCCAAAATCCAGGGTGAATCGAGTATTCTATTCACCGAAGTATTTATTACCTAATCATAAACATGCAAGGGTTAAACTGGACACATTCCATATGTGCTTTCAAAAATAAGAACAATACTGATTAAAATAATCTAAAAACACCATTATGTATGTAATGAAAGAAACAAAATCATTTTAATGTCTGTAGCGAGAGGCATAGGAATCGGACACGTGATTTCATTCGGTTAAAAAACTCCATCTACCAAGGCAAGTCGATCCATTCTTTGCAACTAATAGTCTCCGAGAGTTGTCTAGAGCGCCTAGAAATCAAATTATTTCCTCAGTCACTCAACCGGTATGTCAGGGGTAGAACTTGAACTCAGGTTTTCCAGATTTCACTACAGAGAAGAAGAAGGGAAAGGAGAAGGAGGAGAAGAAGGAGGAGGAGGAGGAGGAGGAGGAGGAGGAGGAGGAGGAGGAGGAGGAGGAGGAGGAGGAGGAGGAGGAGGAGGAGGAGAAGGAGGAGGAGAAGGAGGAGGAGGAGAAGGAGAAGAAGAAGGAGAAGAAGAAGAGAGAAGAAGAAGAAGAAGAAGAAGAAGAAGAAGAAGAAGAAGAAGAAGAAGAAGAAGAAGACTGTATATGGGGGGGGGGGATCCCTTAATGTTTATTGACTGATTGGCTGAAAAGTCAAATGCCATTAATCTGCTTGCACTTTGCATATCGCCCTGCTCCACGCCTTTATTCCTAGATGCTTATTGCTAAATGTGCCTAGGGTCTCCCACATATACATAGATAAATACTGCAAAAGCAGCAATCTCCTTGTTGTCCTGGGGTCCTTCAATTATATTTACATTCCCACTGTCTAGGAAAAGTCTAAAGCAGAATGGAGCCACAAGCAAATTTCACAATCTACATCCCCCCTGGGATTCTAAATCCAACTATAGTTTAAGTGCAGGGAAATGGCAAAGTATGGAGAGGAAGATAGAACTCTAATTTGACATGACCCATTTGCTGTAAACTTGAAGTGGGGCTCTGGTGCATGTATGTTGGAGTAGGGGAATAAAAACTCACATGCATGTTCCTTACTCTCGAACTCTGCATACAATATCTATAGAGTTTCAGATAGCTATTTGGGTCTGTTCTTTTTCCTTTATCTCACCCCCTTTCCTCTGATACAGTTTTAGTTCCTTGTGTCACACATTTATTCAGCCGTTCAACAAACAATTTATAAAATACCTACAACTTGAAGAGAACTTTGTTGTTTTATGGGGAAAGGACAAAGTTTAGATAAAACATCCATGGACTCTCCTCTCATAAAACTTACACTGGTGTTTTAAAATAATAAAATTTATCTGATGAGCACATTTAGAGAGGTGCAGGATAACACGCTATGCGGCATCCAAGGAGGAAGATTGACACAGGCCAGGGGCAATCAGGAAAGATTTCATGTAGGAGATAATATTTGAATTGCCTAATTAATAATAATAGCTAGCATTTATCTAGCACTTTAAAATTTGCAAATCATTTTACAGGGGCAGCTAGGTGGTGAAGTGACCCTAGGCCTCCTGTTTGCCTCCTTTTCCTCATCTGTAAAATGAACTGAAGAAGGAAATGGCAAACTACTCTAGCATCATTGTCAAGAAAACCAAAATGGGGTCAGAAGAGTTGGACACAACTCAACAACAACAAATCACTTTACAAATATTATCTCATTTTATCCTCACTACAGCCCTGGAAGGTAAATGCTATTATCATCCCCATTTTACATATGAGGAAACTGAAACAGAAAAATTGAGTAACTTTCCCAAGGTCACACAGCTGGTAAGCTTCTAAGGCCAAATTTGAACTCGGGTCTTCCTAACCAGTCACACTACTGTGTCTACTCCACCACTTAGCTGGCTCTTTGAAAAATGGCTAGGAATTCAACCTACAGAGGCAGAAGCTGGGGTCATAGTGAGAAGGCACCAAGATCTCATTCTTTTCTCTACCAGCTTGCCACTATGGGTGTGGAAAAGTGAAAGCAAAGTAGACTGTTTTTGCCCTAATTAAATCTTCTGA